ACCCTGGCAATTGTTGTAGATGGTAGTAGTTCCACTTCCTATTTGTCTTCTCATTCTATTTAAGTCTTCTTTTATGTTCTCCATATCTTCTCTCATTTTCTTGTTTCTTCTGTCTTCATTTTCTCTACCCTCTTCACTTCTACCTCTCATATGATCATTTTCCTGACTTCTTATTCTTTGTACTTCTTCTTCTATTGTCCTTATTCTTCTATGAACCTCTTCCAATTCTTCTATATTCATATTGCCTTCTCCTTCTGTCATTCTCCATTGTTCTTTTATTCTCTTTATTTCTTCCACAATTTCGACTCTTGATTTCTTTATTTCTCTTTCAGTTTCCTCTCTCACATCGTATATTTCTTTCTTCACATCACTTTTAATACACTCTATCTCTTTTATTTGTTTGCTTATGCTTCTTTTTACATCCTCCATTTCTTTTTTTCCATTTCTTTCCATAATTTCTACGGTTCTTTTTATATTTACTGCTGTGATCTCTCTCACCGTTTCTTGCATATTTTTTTGTAGATCTTTCATTTTATCTTCTTGTCTTTCTAACTCCTGTTTCATATTATTATTCAAATCTTCTATTTTCTTATCTTGTTTTTCAAATTTCTTCACCATTACAGCTATTATGTACTGCTTCTGTTCTTCTAATTTTTCTACCATTTTTTTACTCTCTTCTTTTTGTTCTTCTCTCATTTTTATACTTTCTTCTTTTAGTTCTTCTCTCATTTTTATACTCTCTTCTTTTTGTTCTTCTCTTATTTTTATACTTTCTTCTTTTAGTTCTTCTCTCATTTTTATACTCTCTTCTTTTTGTTCTCTCATTTTTATACTTTCTTCTTTTTGTTCTTCCCTCATGAATTTAATACTTTCCAATATCATAAGCATCTGTCTATTTCCCAAATCCATTTCTGTTGTGTCCCCTCTAGCTTGTAAATCTCCTGTTTCTTTTATCCCCTCTTTTTCCTGTGATTCATCTTGTGTCATTGCTGTTGGACCTTCTTCTTTTGCTGTTGTTGTGTCTTTAGTCTTGCTTTCCATGTCCTCATCATCGCCGTTTTCTTCTAATTCGAAACAATATGTTTCTGGATCCTTTCCTTCAGAAATTATTGCATCTTGTAATCTTTTTATTAATGTTACTTTGATCCCTGTTTTGTCCAACCCCCTTTTTGTTAATAGTTTTTTAATTTCTGTGATTTTTAGTTCATTTAAAGTTTTAGTTATCTTCATTTTGTCAGTTAGTATTAAATAAATTCAGTAATAAATTAAATATATATTTTTCTGCGTTTGTACCTAACAATACCTAACAATTTTTTTTTTTTTTTTTTTTTTTTTTTTTAAAGAAAAGTCCAATTGTTGTTATAGTCTCAGTTACCAGAATCCACACTTTGTGAGTAGCAAATTTTAAAATTTTTTGATTAATCAGTAAGTTATTAAGCTGTCTATTTATTATTTTGATAATATTGATGCTATTTATTTTAATTTTAATTTCATATGGAGCCTTTATCGAGCCTCACGTTGGGTACGCCAATTGTTATATGTGTCTGTTTTACTGAAATTAGGTATCAGGAGTTTCAATAATGTTTGCCCCAGAGTTGGGTGTCAATATTGTTATGAATGTTATAAAGATAATTGTAAAATATATTATGAAATGAATTTGAATAGTGTTAATTTTTTTTTTATATCAGTACATAATATTCAAACCATACACCATTACTTTATCGTAAACTTCAATCAGCTATAAATGTAACATCATTGTGTTTAGACACTTACCTCTATCCCTCGTATCGTGAAATCTTACCAATTTTGAGTAGGAACATAAGACTCCACTGGATGTTGTTTTATGTCAGCTATGTAAGTATTTAGATCTCAGGGCTTTAAAATTGTGGATTCCAAAAGGCTTCCTAGTATAAACCACTCAGAAAAAGAAACAGAGTAATTATCACAAACATTTAATATTATTAAAGTGGAAATAGAAATGATTAATACGTTCAAATAAAAATTTTAAGGACTAAAAATGGCGCATTCATACCAATCATTCATGAAGCCACCTATACACAAATTAAGAAAGAATTATATAAAATATGTTGTACAGAATAAATATACCCTCAATAGGTATGCGCTTCACCTACTGTTTTGGAGGTGGCGCCACGATTACTTTTTTATTTATAGTTAACGAATTTACCAGTGTTTATTTCGTGGTTTGTGGTTTATTCTGACAGTGTTCATGCATCAAATCATGTGTAAGCTACTACTTGTTATTAATTCATTAGTATTTATTCGTAATGAAATACCTTATATTTCCTTATGTTAGAAATGTCCCGTCGTTAACACATATATCTTCCAGCAGTATAGACATAAAACCACAGGGCACAGAGTAGTCGTCAGCAAATTATGCAGAAGTTCATACAAAGCGTCTCACAAACCATTTGTCGGCATTTTCTAGGATAGATTCTCTTACAAACTACCTCACACAGGTATAGATCTTTAATTTTTCTGTTTCTCTTTCTTCCTTGATTGTAAAATACTTAATTTTTTTATAAAATTTGTGGAGAAAAAATTATTACAGCCTCTCCATTTTTCGTTGTTCGGCGACTCCCTTTTGTTTTATCAACAACCCCAATTTTAAATATTTGAATCTAGGCGCATGAAAATAGATTTGTCCAATCAAAATTTTGACAGTTTAGTAACTTTTTAGAAATTCAATTTGTAAAATTGTATTAATGAGTTTATTCAAACGATTTATTATAGAATTTTGATGGTGATTTATATTTGTTTCATTAATAGGTCATTTTAAAATTCGTGTTGTAGTTTTTTTTTGTAAATTTGTTTTTCTAATGTCCGTAATTTACATGTGGTAGAACTGTCTCACTAAATCTGGTTCTTTTTGACATAATCAAAATTATCGCTATACGAGGGGTAGTCAGAAATTTTGATGTATAATTTATAGCTTTAAGTTTAATATATTATGTTAGTGATTTTCTTGATTTCTCGTAACTTCATATCCATTATACTAGTTTCATAAGAAACCACATTGCGATATTTCCCGTGCGGTTGATAACGTATTTATCACAAAAGAAAGTAATCGATTCCATTGTAGAAAGCGATAAGTAGAATTCTACATGACACAGAGTTCCAGCCCTGGTACCCACTTATCTGCTACTCTTTATTTATCACTCGGTTGCAAAGTATTAGAATACATTTTTTCAAGTTTTTTTTTTTTTAACTTAATTAATGCCCATGTTGCTATATTATCCTGGTCATTGTTGCCATATTCCCGGGATATGGGGAAAAATGGCACAATTTCATTTTTTTTTTCAAGCAACATTTTTTAAGTTAGTATTTAACATATTCGTGTTGCTTAATTTTTGTTGTGTTAACTAAGCATAATACATTTCACTTTCTATAATTAACATGCCCTAATGTAAAAAAATAAAAAGTTGGAATGAGTCAAATAAATTGTTGCCATATTCCCCTAGTTTACCTTATATAATTTTAATGGTTTTATTATGTTGACCATAGTTTTATACAAAAAACGAAAATAAAGTGAAATTAACAGTACATTCATAAACTTATCACATTCGCCGACTCTCTCCAGCATAAATTCTATTTTTTCACATAGGCCTCCTTCTGACTATTCCATTCGTTCTTATTCAGTGCAGTGTAATATGCATTTATTAACTTTTATATCTGTCTGTTTCATGGGGTGTATCCCGCAAAGTTTATCTTCACTTCAGCTGTTCCTTATCCGACATCTTCTATCTCTTTCATTTTATTTTCTTATTTTGCATATTAAAATTGATTTAAAACTGAATAGAAATAATTGTATCTTTGATAACATTTATAAAAAAAATAAAATACGTGTGGCACTCGGGGACTGCCGCGGTAAAGCTATTGCATAGCATTTTTTCTTTGATATTATTCAAGTTACACTTTTTGAGCGTGGTGACCGATAAGAAAACAAATTTTTTCTTTTATTGAATAAATGAGAAGTTAATATTGTTTAAAATATTTTTATTATCTTACAATACATGTAGGTTATTCAGGAATTTTTATCATTGAAACTATAGGTTTATGGTAACTGAAATAAGAAATATAAGTTTGAGGCTTGATATCCTCTAAATATCAGGAAAATACCGCGTCAATGGTGGTACATATTTTGTTGCGGATTCTTGTGGATTATTATTCATTTTCAAATTTAATTTTTCCGAAATTGTGTCTAAAAGAGATAGAATCAGTTGTAAGCAGTTAGTAGCTAGTCTACACGCATACGTCTAGTCGCCCGCACAAACACCGTGCCGAAGTCTGCCGAACTGAAACGACGTTAGATGATGCACGGCTTTCAACGCCGCACCGCTGTGCCGGTTGGAGTAGGGGGTGTTAGGTTTATTTTCGTTACGGACTTTTTTTTTGAATTTTCTATTTTTCGATTTTTTGATTTTTCGATTTCTCGATTTTTCGATTTTTCGATTTTTTTGATTTTAATTTTTTCTATTTTTTCGATTTTCGATTATTCGATTTTTTTTTATTGAATAAATGAGAAGTTAATATTGTTTAACGCCGCACCGCTGTGCCTGTCGGAGTGGGGGGGTGTTACGTTTTTTTTCGTTACGGATAACGGAATTTCTTCATTCGGTCGCCGCGCTCAAAGCCCGCGATAAAAGCTTTGCAATAGCTTAAAAACAAAAATATAATTGGCTTTGTCATGAAATTAATTTATATATTTTGAACGGTGAGCCAAACTTTACTGAGCCGGCTCAAATTATTTATGTTATGTGCTAAATAAATAAATAAATTAATTAATTAATTTATGTGTACCTAGGTACCTACTCTAAAACAAACATTTGTAATTTTTATTGGAATATCATTAAATTATGTCAAATAATTTATAATAAAATAATGCTTTTTGTAAATGTATTTATTAGCTAATAAAAATTACACTTTTGAATCTTTAATAGATTCATGAAGATTTTCTAAAGAATCTTTGATTCCACTAAGTTTACCATTGCTCAGAGTCACAGAATTGTCTATACTTGATGGTATATTTCCACTATTTGCATCTTCAATAGCTTTTCGTAATTCTTTTAAACCTACAACTCCTACTAATTTACCAATGGCAGTGACATAGGCGTTGTTTACACCCACTAACGAGAACAACGAATGAACTTTTAAGAGTGAAGTTCTTTCTACTAGTTGGAATGGAGCTGGATCTATTTGACATTGAGAAAAGTCGATAGGCAATTGCATTTGTTCCTCTTCCCATTTGATTTGATCTTCCGGACTCATATCACAGATCCTTTCGGTGGGCTGAAAAACAACCAAATTATTATTATTATTATTATTATTATTTTGATTAAATAATGGTAAATCAATATGACTGTTGTTTTAATTATTGTATTTGGGCTACCTAATGCAAATCATGTTCTTTTTTACTGGAATAATTCGGAAAGTTTAAAGCAGTTATATTTGACATTAAAAAGGAATCAATGTCAAATATTGCTGGTAATGTAAATTTAACCATTAATTTTGCATCTTAGTACAAAGTGATTTAGTATACTTAAACCAATTTGTTATTATTACAACGCTTCCATCCATTGAAATCACATTTAGAAGCGATGGAAAATAAATTTAAAGAGGCAAATAATACAAAGGCAAAAATTCAGCATTAATTTCTTTCGAATTAGTAAATTGTAATGTTAACTTTTAAATACTGCAGATTAATTGTGGGTCATGAATACTAATAAAAAAAATACCTTGCGTTGGCTCGGGATTATTTTCAAAAAATATTGTTACGCTGGATTTTGGTATCAAAATTTATTTGATCTCAACTTTTACAATTAGGCATTCCAAACTGAATGGCTACCAGTGGGTTTTGACGGGTAATGATATGGCAAAATTATGGCAACCCTGTAGGCCTGGTGATTTGACAAGATCAATGAAATAGATAGTTACATAGATTGATCATCCATATTTTTCAAAATAAACATAAGCTTATGCCTTAAAGTAAAAATATAAGCAATTATTTTTTTAAATACCTAAAGGCTAAAAATTGGTTTTAAAACACATTTTTGCTAAACCGATTCAAATTAATAAATATTTACCAGACAATATGGCCGCTTGTAAACGACCAGCTTTGAGCAATCTATATAACTATATATGTATCATTGACCCTGTTAATGACAACATGACAACAGGGTTGCCATATCTAAACTGTCATTACCCACTGGTAGCCATTTGGACAGGTCGTTGGAATGCCTAATAGGGACCGTGCGTCATGACTTTAACGCTAACTGGTGACAAAAATGTGAACTTTATGGGGGTATTTATTAATGTTTTATACGGCATTTATTGTTTAATAATTATTAATTAAATAAAGTCGAATTATTTTCGTAATATCATTATCGAAAAAACTTGTTGCATCCGTGGATGTACAAACACATCACTTTGGAAACCTAGATTTCATTCGATAGTAAAGAAATTTTACAAATTTCCACAGAAATGTCTTACACCCAATGATATACATAATTACAAAGATTGCTTATCCATATGTAAATCAGACGACGAAAAGCGTATTTCACTAGTTTTCTTTTTATCTAGCTTGTATCAATTTTGAGCACTTAGTTGTGAAGAAATCATTTACAGAACCGGTTTAGAAATTAGAATCTTTAGTGTTTTCTTGTCACTAAGATTTTTACATATTTAAATGAACATTTTATATAAATATAATTTTACAGATAATTAATGGTTTATTCTGTTGATTAAAACTAATGTAGAATGTTTATTATGAAATGAGAATGTCTAATTTGACAAACATATCATGGCCCTCTTTACAATTTATTAACTATTTCTCATTTATTATTAAAATAAACAAATCATAAATAACACATTGCAATTACTGTCAAAAGAGATTGCAACAAACTTTAAAATATTAAAAATCCATGATTTTTTGTAAAAAATTTTTAGTGACATTACCATTAAACAATATTCAGAATAATAGATAAGTGTCCAATTACAACTCTTACCAAAGTTGTTTATACCTCATCTCAAAGTTGTTTACATTACCTTTTCAAAATTGTATTACATATTGCAATTATGTATTTTATATAGTATTATTTCTGAAATGAGAGTAGTCTAATAGTTATTTATGCAACAAGTGCAAAAAGGTTTATTGCACGCGGCGTGAAATTGTCGAATGCAACACTTTTTGCACGAGTTGCATACAATATTTTTTCTACGTTCATGCAAAAACAAAAAAAAAATTTATAGGACTGCAGTTGTATTATCCAAATCATAGTATCAGTGATCGGGTACCTTTGTTTGAGGCATTTATTTCCGTTTGTGTTCATAATTTGTAATTACATTTTTAATAAAATACATTTTTTTATAAATTTATTTATTAAATGATTGAAAATAATATAAAATATGCAATTGTTTTTAAAACGTAACACAGAAAATGAAAATGGACTAAATATTTGGCGTTGATTTGAATATTTATGTTTGTCATGATCATAAAACGCTGTAGTAAAATGACAGATGAGTGCAATAAAATTTTTATTGCACTAGTGCAATAAATACCCACTTTTTTCACTAAATATAGTTCAACAAAGTTTTGTTTTTTGCATGAACGTAGAAAAAATTATTTATATCCATCTGTTATAAAAATTGTTTAGATCTCTTAATATTATTTAACTACATGGAAATTCAACTTTCCAAATACATAATAACATGTATTGAAGTAAAACTTTATTTATTTTCTTTTTCTAAAGATTAAAATGCTGAAATTTTATTTTAAAACACATTTGGGCTAGAACGGCTCTATTTTAGTGAGCACTAGGAAAGGCACATTGCAACCCGCTTTTCACAATTTTTTTATAGATGGGTGAGCAATCTATAATGTGTATCATTGGACATCTCATAAACGTCAGTGGATGAATGACATTTCGACTAACAAAGATTTATTTTTATTATTATCAATCTTTTTTATTAATTTACATTTTTTAAATGTTATTGTAATACTTTTAAATTCAGTGTTACTAAATACCGATATTTTGACATTGGATACACTTGTTTAAGGTACAACTTTACAATTTATTGTCACATAGCTATTTAAATCTTTTTGCTTAAAATGTATATACTTATCCAGATTTTAATAATGTTTCACATTTTACGTCATTTTGACCATGTACACGATTGTTTGGTACGGGCCGGTATCTATTTTTAAATATATTTAATATTTTGAAAAATATCCTTTATTATTTACTTGCAATGTTTACCCCATTTAATTCTAAAATTAAACACTAGAGAGGGCTAACTTCGGCAATAGTGCTGCCTCTATATTTCACGCACGGTCCCTATAACTCAATTCAACTGACACAATGGGCGCGTTCAGCCGACGCAACAGTTGATTAAAACCGAAAACATGTTTCTGATATGGTGGAAGTCAACAATTAAAAGTACCTGAACGGTATAAGTTGGTTCAGCGGTTAGACAATACACATACACGTGGTGACCTCTAGTGGTGATATAAATAAAATCATTTTCGGTTACAAATTAAGATCATTTAAAAATATACTAAGTCATAATCAGTCATAACGGACATTTTTCATCATGGTTTAACTTTAGAATTTAAAAAACAACAAAATTCATGTTCAAAGTTAAGAAATGTGAAGTTATAATCACATATAATCAGCTTTATCCTTATAGAGTGGTTAAAAATCAATAAAAAAACACTAGGAATCTCTAAATTAAAAATTTCTTTAGTTTGCAACACTGAGTACAATACTTCGTTTACAAAAATCACCATAGAATTTTCCTGGTGCCGATGTTGAGCAACGATTGAAACTAACCCACAGTTGCCGCGTTTGAGAATCCACATCGGATGCATCTGAGATGTTGTGAATTTTTTATCACGTGATAGAGAATTAGATCTGAATGTAGATGTAATAAACAAACGCTCTAGACTTTATTTGGTCACGTGACAAATGTCAATGACAAGTTAGAAGTTTATACTTATTAAATTTGACTTTTGAGACTACAAATCAACCTAAATTTGAAATATAAACAAAAATTAAGCACACTAATCACTTTTATATTCATGCTAGCATAAACAAAGGAAAAATTGACAAACAAGGCTTCACAGAACACTTACTTTCTAGCATGGAACAAACATCTCATTCACATCTCATTTCAAATCGAGATGTAAAAAATGTAATCTGAACAGGTACATCTGGGATAAAAAAACGCAGATGTAGATGTAGTAGATGTGTCCGATGTGGATAAAAAAACGCTCGAGATGTAAAAAATGCATCCGATGTGGATTCTCAAACGCAGCAATAGTATCCACTCTTACCGTCAAGGTCAATGCGTGTTAAGTTTCATACCCCCGCCGTCGTGAGGTCGCCACCGTCACCGTTCATAGGACACGCTTGTGCAGCGTTGCCAATAGCAATAATTTTACCCGATTTTTGGGTATTCTTAATTAAGTAATGAACTTTTATGAATTGATTTATAATTTATTAATGCAAGATTATAGCGTTTTTGTCGTTTTTCATTTAGTAGTATGTACTATTGCTGAAAAGTCATGTTTTAAAATATTTTCATCGTCACTATTGCATTTATTGGTGACTTCAGGCGTTCGGGGTAAGTGATGAGAATTATCACCATTTGACCGTGACAACACTGCCTACTTTGTGTACTTGATACCTACATAACCACAAATATTTCTTATTTCTTTATTATTTTTATGAATGTTGTGAGTGATTTGTTTGTTTTTGAACTGATTGTTAAATAATAAAATGGAAATAAAACAGAAAGTCAATAGTGAAATGGAAATAAAGCACAAAATTAATACCACAGCATAAAGTTTATTTAATAGGCAGTGTCGCGATTAGTTTCGGCTTACATTGGTCAGTGACCACATGGAGGAAGGATTAATGTGACCACATTACATTTTTGATATAATGGATAAACTTTCAGTCATGATTGTAAAGTGTAAGTGTCCCCGGTTCCAGGTTGTTACATTATTTTAATGGTAAAATACGTCTTCTTGCTAACACAAGATACCTATAATATAAGAAATAAGAAAAACCAGATATAACTAAAAAAATGAAAACACTTGAATCTTTTTTATTTTATCTTAATATTTTGCATGTACCTATTATTATTGCCTTATTTTTAGCTATTTTTAGTTTTTGTTAAAATAATACCCGAAATTTACATTTTATAAATAAATCGTTATAAATATAATAAATGGTTTCATTTCATAAAAAAATGTAGCACCAAAACATGATTAAACCATTATAGTTACG